CTCTACAGAAAAGCTGTCAGTTCATTGTGGACTTACTATTAATTTAAAAAAATATAAAAAACAAATGTATAGCAGTCATGCTTAGTGTGAAAGTGTCTTTATCTTATGTCAGTTCAGAAGTATTTTAGTGCATTTTGCATGAATATTGCATCAAAATATTTAATTTCAGTGTATACTCTTACTTCTCAATATAATATATTATTTTATGAACCTATATCCAATATATATATATAATGCATTTCATATTTATTCTTATATTTTTGGGCAGTTTTTGTCTTTTTTGGACAGATACACTACAAAAAATGACGCCGTCTTGTTTTACAGTGCACAAATATTTAAACATTTTCAAATCAAGGCACATTTTCTGGAGAAGCAAAATCACTAAGTCCAAAAAAAGTCTCAAAACTAAGTGAGTTTTTGCTTAAAATAAGAACAAATGTGAAAAATCCATTGGCAGATACTATAAGACTCACTTAATTTTACCGCATTTTTCAGAAAACAAGACTTAATATCTTAATAAGACTTAAGTCTCCAGTAAATGTATCTTGTAAAATATGTAAACTATGTAAAATAGTGTATTGACAAAAACTGCCCACAAATATATTGTCTAAAAAATATATATGATTTTCAAACATATATTGGATATAGGTTCCTACAATTACATCATATCTTTTGAGAAGTACACATTTACTCTCCAATGAGTTTTTTTGATGCAATACGTCACTAAAATCTGAAGTGACCTAAGGTTTAGTAAATGAAGTGTTTAGATATTTGTGCTGGAGAACGAGACAGGAGACAGAAACACTAAGTGATTACTGCATGTCATTATCCGTCCATCGAGTGCTGTACTTCAGAGAGGACCGGATGAAGTCTCACCGGCGCGCAGAGCGTAGCGTCCCGTCATGAAGGCGGTTCTGCTGGGAGTGCAGAGCGGAGCGGCGGCGAGATGCTGGCTCAGTTTCACTCCGTCTGCCGTCAGACGGTCCACGTTTGGTGTGCTTCAGACACAGAGACAGGTACTGATGAATCCAGCAGCTGAGCCCGTTTCAGACCCGTGTGACGCCGTTCATCTAAGACGATTTGAAGAATCTTCTTTATATTCTACCGCTCCAGCAGAACACAGCACTGGAGTTATGTTTTCATAGTGTTCCTGGAGCTCATACGCTTGCAACACCTAGCTCAAGGGTTCCATTCCCGGGGAATGCAATGCAAGTCGCTTCGGTTAAAAGCGTAAATGCATGTCTTTCTGTCGTTTTAGGAGTTTGACAGACGTGGCCACTATGAGAGCAGAGATTTGTTTAATAATCAATCTGACCCTTAGTGATATTTGCATTGGGTAACACAGATCAGTGTTAATAAGTAAATAATTTATTTTGCATATAGTTTGCACAATCATTCCATTTTTACAGCAATTTATTCTATTGTATTTTATTAGTGCTATAATCAAAATATGCCTAATGCATATAAAATACAGCATTTTGTAATTGGTCATAATCTAATTACTTTGCATTTTGCATTATTTTGTCAAAAAGCAACAAAAAAAACTATTTAATAACTTACTTCCTTAACTTAAAAATACTCTGCATCCATAAAAAACTATACATGTTGTTTTCTAGAAAAGAGTTGCATGAAAATGAATTATCTTGCAGTTATTGTTTTGTCAGAAAGCAACAATAAAACTATATCTAATAGCCAGTTTTCCTTAAAGATAATTGGGCGCTTGCATAAATAATAATAATAATAATAATATGTGTTGATCTCTAGAAATCTCTAGGTGCATGAAGTGTTCATGTTCCACACGGGTCTGAAACAACACGAGGGTGACAGGGTCTTCATTTTAAAATCAATTATTCTTTTCGGTGTCAGTGATTTACCTGATGGTGTCGTTTCCATAGCAACCGATGTCTCCAATGCCCAGATCATCCACCATCATCAGGACGAAGTTGGGTCTGGAGTCGTGGTCCGCACTGCTCACATATGAGCTGGCCTGGAGGAGAACCAGCAAACCAGCGAAGAACCTGCAAGAGCACAGCAGAGCTGGATGAGTTTAGCTCGGAGTAACCCTAACCTTTCGCCACGCCCCCCTCATATTCCGCCACGCCCCCGACCCGTTCGCCACGCCCACCGCTCCAGCCTGCATTGAACTGGTTAGTTTCTCAAACTGTTATTATCTGTCATGAAATCTGCAGATACACCGACCTCGAGCTCCAGTTTTCCCCCAGCATGCTCCTCTAAAGCGCGCGTGAGATGATAAACACGTCCAGATGTGAAGAAGCAGGAAAACAGGGAAGTGAGCCAGACTCCACGCACGCTTGTCTTCTGCTGCGGGAACGAGATCAGCTGATTTAGTGACTGATTGATTGATTATCAGCAGGAGCACAGACGCAGAGGCAGCAGAAGTCAGTCAGTCAGTGCGCTCTCTCTCTCTCTCTCTCTCT